CTCTGGAAAGACGGAATCGAAGCACCTGGGGAAACACTGAACCGAACCAAGGGAAGGGCAGACACCAAATGCAACTCGTACACAGAGTGGGGAAAAGAAAACCCCACTTCTTGTAACAGTAAGCCCCGCTCAGAGGGTAGAAAAACCGAGGCAGGGTCCAACGGGGCCCAAGGTCCCCAAGTCAGCCCCTTTCCAGCCCCAGGGTCCTCTTCCGCAGGACTCGGGGCCAAGTCCTCCCCCCAAGCACCGACCCCACTAGATAAGGCCGGCGCAGCCGTAGAAGCCGGAAAGAATGAGGCCCACTGGTCAGACCCAGAGGCTTCGGCCGGGGGAGGAGACTCGAATGCGTCCGTCGCCACACCGGAAGAGGCATCCCCTGGGGGCTGCCCGAGTCTCAAGACCAACTAACCCCTGCCCCGACTCCAAAACCCTCGGACGTTTCGGGGCCAGAAGTAGGGGAGGGAGACCAGAACGAACAACAAGAGGGGAAGGACCAGGAGGTGCGGACTGAACCAGCATCAAAGCGGCCCCCCACCCCCAAGTCTGGGTCCCTGGAACACACAAGGACAGTACCTATCGGGCGCCTAGGGAAGTTAACCCTAAATGCATGCAGCCCGAGTACGTCTTGGAACTCCTGGCCACCACACAGTAGACACAGCCGGCACAACTGCACAGGGTAAAATCCAGCAAGAGAATGAGGCCAGAGAAAACGTCAGCTCTATACGGCATCAGTAATGAACTACTGATGTCAGCGCTTGGCTGACTGGCAAGTTCTTAAATGCTTTACTAGTTGGTGCTTGTAATGGTTCGCCTACCTTTCTGGGTGATACCCCCGGTCGATGGCAGACACGACTATACAGTAGTACCTTCATTTTTTAATTTAATCCATTCCAAGAGACAGGTTTGAAAACCTAAAATTTTAAAACCTAAATGAATTTTACAGTATCCACTCAATTTAACGGCCTATATGGGGCTGTACCCTGGTCGTTATTTCCGGAGTTCTGGTATTTCCGAAGTTAAGATGTCGGTAATTTTTCAAGTAACATTCAGGTAGGATATACTTTATACTGTATAACAAGTGGACCACACAACAAGTGAACCATATAAACCAAACACCTTTCCTTTCCCCTCCTCCCTCTATGTCTTCCATCCCCTCCCTCATTATCTTCCATCCCCTCCCTCAATGTCTTCCATCCCCTCCCTCATTATCTTCCATCCCCTCCCTCATTATCTTCCATCCCCTCCCTCATTATCTTCCATCCCCTCCCTCATTATCTTCCATCCCCTCCCTCATTATCTTCCATCCCCTCCCTCATTATCTTCCATCCCCTCCCTCATTATCTTCCATCCCCTCCCTCAATGTCTTCCATCCCCTCCCTCAATGTCTTCCATCCCCTCCCTCATTATCTTCCATTCCCTCCATCAATGTTTTCCATCCCCTCCCTCATTATCTTCCATCCCCTCCCTCAATGCCTTCCATCCCCTCCCTCATTATCTTCCATCTCCTCCCTCATTATCTTCCATCCCCTTCCTCATTATCTTCCATCTCCTCCCTCACTGCGTTCCTCATAACATGAGAACAGCAGGCGATGGAGGAAGGAGCTACTAATGGGGTCGAGGGAGCTACTATAGGGGTCGAGGCCTGGCTACTCAGACATATGTCAGCGCCTGCTCGCAGATGCCAGCTGTGCATAATTCATAAATAAAACTATATTTGTTTAATTAACAAATAGGAAACTATAAAACATGTTATTGATTAATAATGTATAGTTATATACAAAAATTAACATATTTTGGCATAAATATTTTACAACTCAGATTACAAAATTTAATACGGTATGGGGTGAGAGATTTGGCACCATCGCCTTGGTCAGCAATTATGCCCTCCGCCTTCCTTACCACCACCCCTCTCCCTGCCTCCCTCACCACCACCACTCTCCCTGCCTCCCTCAACACCACCACTCTCCCTGCCTCCCTCACCACCACCACTCTCCCTGCCTCCCTCACCACCACCACTCTCCCTGCCTCCCTCAACACCACCACTCTCCCTGCCTCCCTCACCACCACCACTCTCCCTGCCTCCCTCAACACCACCCCTCCCCCAACCTCCCTCAACACCACCCCTCTCCCTGCCTCCCTCACCACCACCACTCTCCCTGCCTCCCTCAACACCACCCCTCTCCCTGCCTCCCTCAACACCACCCCTCTCCCTGCCTCCCTCAACACCACCCCTCTCCCTGCCTCCCTCAACACCACCCCTCTCCCTGCCTCCCTCACCACCACCACTCTCCCTGCCTCCCTCAACACCACCCCTCTCCCTGCCTCCCTCACCACCACCACTCTCCCTACCTCCCTCACCACCACCACTCTCCCTACCTCCCTCAACACCACCCCTCTCCCTGCCTCCCTCACCACCACCACTCTCCCTACCTCCCTCAACACCACCCCACACCCTCCCACCCGCAACACCACCACCCCTCTTCCTACCTCCCTCAACACCACCCCTCTCCCTGCCTCCCTCAACACCACCACCCCTCTTCCTACCTCCCTCAACACCACCCCTCTCCCTACCTCCCTCAACACCACCCCTCTCCCTACCTCCCTCAACACCACTCCTCTCCCTACCTCCCTCAAAACCACCCCTCTCCCTGCCTCCCTCAACACCACTCCTCTCCCTCCCTCCCTCCCTCACTACCACCACCAATACTCTCCCTACCACCCTCACCACCACCCCCAACACTCTCCCTGCCTCTCCCCCTCAATGCCTCCCTCCATCAATCACTGCCTCCCATCCCTCCCGCAAGGCCTTGGAGGTCGGTGGCCTGTGGCCACGTGAGGGGTCGCCGATGCCAAAACAAACTCAATACCGACCTTCGGTAATATCGACCGCCAGACTGGTATATGAGGGTCCACATACCGATCTCCCAAACCGGTCGTTATTACCGGCAGATCGGTATAAAAGAGGCCGTTAAATTGAGTGGATACTGTACTACTAATATTTTGTACTATAGTATGTACAAGTATATCTTACCTTTATTGAGGACATTTGTTGGCGTATGGAAGATGGTGAGGAAGGAGGGTAGAGGTGTTAGTGTTTGGAAGGGGAATCCCCTTCCATTATAACAGTAGTGATGACAATTCTGGGGTACTTTCTCTCTCTCTTACATTTTGCAGGCATACTACTAGGACCTGGTTGTGGTTCACTGCTTGCTTGTCTTACTAAGAATCTGTCTATAGACACTTGTTTTTACCTACATTTTAACACTTGTCTGTAGTGAGACATCACATTGTCTCACTATGAATGATCTCTTGTTTTTCCTCTATCGTCATCCTCACAACTATTTTCTTAGATTGAACCTTACCACTGACTTTCTTGAAACCCATGGCATGATATATATAATAAGACCTTTTATATTCAGAAACCAAACATGCACAAACACAATATAATTCTTCACAGAGAATTCAAGCGCAGTCGTCACTAGGCTAGTCGTCACTGGTAAACTGAACCGTGCCACGTGCTCGGTCGGCCCATACGTGTATCAACAAACTCGAGCATCGAGGCAAACCTTGAATACAGAGTCAAATTTTCAAAGAAATTGAGCTCGAGTATCTAAAAATTTAAAAAATGGGGCATTAAAAAACTGCGGTTCCACTGGACTCTCAAACAGTGGAGTATTCATAGCCATTGCTCTCTTCACCTCTCTGAGGGAGCCAGGTTCTGGCTTGTGGTTACTGGTAGGCATATGGACTCCAGTAACTGAGGCTTTAGACTAATATGGCAGGTATCAGTCTGATAGCTGCAGGGAGCCAATAGGGCTTCCCCCAGAAAAAGAGAAGAAGATATTAAGTCACATCCATTAATATTACCATCTACACTCAGCAGTTATCATGGTAAACTGGTATCAGTATCAGCATCCTTTAGCAAAATATTCACAACAGTATTTCAGGAATTTCATTGACTAGGTGTAAAGCATTGTGTGTAAATTGTAGAAAAGGATCACTCTTTCATTCCCTCTTAACATACCGCTTCTGCTTCTTCTTCTGTCCTCATTCTCAATCCTCATATTATTTCAACTGATTCAACTTCGTACCCACAGTGATTTGAGTCCAGTGTACATCGATTTCATCAAGTTCCAGACCTTTAGACATGTCTAACCACCTTCTCAACCTTCCTCCTCACCTACCTTCAAAGTCAACTGAACACTTTTTAATTACATTCTTATCAACCTGACACCCTATGCCGTTCTTGACACCATCTTTCGATAAACACCTGCCCTAAGCTAATGACTGACCATCTCTAGGATGGAACCCCACAAGAGTTGCTTAACTCTCAGATACCTAATGACTGTTAAATGAATAGAAGGGAGGGGGAATTATGAGCAGAAAGTGCTAGCATGTGTATGTAGCACTTGGAAAGAGAACTGGGTAAAGAAATGGCGTCCAAAAACTTGGACTATTGGGAATTAAATGCCGACTCGGTAAGAAGCAATGCAATCAATCCACCAACCAATCCAAGAGGTACAGCACCAGGTAAATTTATGTACCAGGTGTAGGAAGCTGTGTCAAAAAATCTCGTCCTGCATGGTAATCAAATCCAGGAACACAGTGAAAGTTAAAAGGTCAAAGCAAAATTATTTGTGAGGAGTGACAGGAAGTAGATACAGCAGCAGAAAATGGAGTGGTGGAGGGGACCAAGATCATACTAAGTCAAGGAGTACTTCATTAACTGTCCTACTATAAAGCAAGGATCACCCAATAGGAAACTGATAGACTTGGTTTTAATACAGAAATTTTATGAGCAATTGCTTTATAAGAAAAAAATTATCTTGAGGGGTTGTGTGCACTATTTCATGCCTAAGATTTAACATACTGTAGTGTATATGAATGCCAAATCAAATTTGCCTAGTAAATATAAATTATTGAAGAAAATGCATTAAACTAAAATCAGTCTTGCAGAAACAATGTCATTTTGAAGCTAATGAGCCTTAGTCATATCTTACACAAAGTTGCGTCGTTGATAAAATGCGATGGCACGTTGATTTGTGGTTAGCACATGTAAAAGCACGGCTTGTATGCGAGGAGTCTCATGAGCAGACAGCTGGGCTAAATAGTTGTCCAACAATAGTGATGCAATTCCATGGCCACGATGAGCATCACTCACACCAAGTGTCAGGATATAGCCAATTTGTGTCTGAACAGTCAAAGAAGGCGGCAAGATATCTTGGTCCTGTAAACGTTAATAACAACAATATAAGTAGCCTATTTATTATTTTTTCTGAGCTATTGTATTCTTCTTCATTGACTTCACCATTGGTTTTGATAACCCTTCCCCCATCACTCTCAGTGACATCAGAGGAATTCATAGTTCCCCCCATCAGATGGGTGTGTATGGTAGAAACTTCATTCTGACAGGTATACTCTGTGGAAGCCTCTCCATAATGAGATTTGAGGCATGAGTTCAGTCATTTTGCTTTGAGCCCTATCTCATCATTCTCGTTGTAACAACTAAGGCCTCAAGACATGGAACTTGACCCAGACCTCCAGAGTCCCGTCACTCCTTAACCACTGTGATACGCCGGCTTTAACCCTTAAATGGCACATACATACATGATTGGACATAACATCAGTTTTTAAAACTTGCACAAACACTTTCCAATTTTTTGTGCATAATCAACTCGGCAAATGCTCCAACTTCGTCACTTGATCACCAGCATAACTTGGGGGAAAAAAAAAAAACTAGCGTTGAATGTAATGAAACGCCATTTTCTGGGTGAGACCCGGAGGCTCCCCGGAGCTTACTAGGCTGATATGCTAATGTCAGACTTTGGCATCAGTCATGTGTATGGAGTTCTGTGGGCCTACCGAGGACCATGAGCCAGAACCTGGCCCCCTCAGAGAGGCATGGGGAGCAATGGCCTATAGAAACCCCCATGTGGTTGGAAGCATTCTATGTCTGCCATCGACTGGGTCAGGCACTCAGAAAGATAAGCATCCCAAAACAAACCCCTATTCTGGTGAAATTATTGCTACCAAAAGCCGAACAAGTGGATAGAACTCCCCCTAAAAGAAACAAACAAACGATCATGACATTACACGCCGCCGCGCCGCTGTCTGCGCAGCTCCCCCTCCCTGGGAGAGGGAAAGGGGAGCCCCAGAACCCTCACGCCAGCTATCCACCCGTCAGTTTTGAGGCTGGATGTCAAAACACACGATAAAAAACACTGACCAGGGAGAGGGAAGGATGCCAGGGAGCCTCCGAGTCTCACCCAAAAAATGGCCGTTCATTACATTCAATGCTGGTTTTCTGGGAGGAGCCCCTTTGGCTTCCCATAGCTAACTACCCACAGAGGAAGAACATAGGGACTTACCTGGGAGGCGGTCGTTGCTCACTCCACAACTCGAAGTCGAGACAACCGTCTGCAACCGCCGACCCAAAATGACACAGGCCCGACTAGGCCTCGGGACGTGCACGAGGTAATGAGCAGCCAGGACCCTGTGTGACCGCCAAAAGCTCAGTGCCCGAATGTCAGCCCAGGACATGGTGCCAAAGATGGCAGCAAGTGCAGTGAATGCACGAATGGGCATGGGGATAGACCGCAGGCTGGCTAGCCATAAGAACTCTGCAGACGACCTGGGAGACCCGCACCTGCGAACAGGGAAAAAAGGGAAACCGGATCAACCCAAAGCACGTCCCCAGACACAGAGGCCGAGGCGCACAAGTAACAGTGAAGAGCCGCCACCTAACACCCAACCAACCAAGCCTCAACAACCCGGGGACCCCTCCGGAAAGCAGCAGTCACAATCTTTGCCAGAAAAGGAGACGGCTGCAGACGAAGAAAACCATCACGAAGATCGGAAGAGCAGAAACCCCTGCGCCGGAGGAGAGCATGAAGCTCCTCAACCTGACCCCCAGAGGCCAATGCCAACAGAAAAGGAGCCTTGGAGAACAAACCTGAACCAAAGGGGCCACAACAAACCGAGGAGAAGAAAGAAAAGTCCAATGACCAATGACCAGGATGGCTCAGGCGGTGCAAGAGCAGGCCGAAGGTGAAGCAATGCATGAGACACAGCTTGCGAAACGGCGCAGAATTAACATCAAAACCAAAAGCAAGCCAAAGCGGCTCTGCCATCGCCACACAATATGAGGCGACAGTATGGGGCAAGATGATGGCCCCAAAGCTCCACAAGAAAAGGACAAGGCCACGCCAAAAAACACAGCTATCAAAGAAGGGACAGAAGGAAAAGGAGGGACCGCCAAAAACCCCACACTGCCGCCAAGAAGAAGCACGCAGGTGGGACACCGTCAACGAAGCCACCCGACCACCAACAGAAGGCGAGAGACTTGAGGCAGAACCGGACCCGGCCAGCCATGGGCCAATCAAGCCTAGGAAGAGGAGGAGTCGCAGGAAGGTCTCGAGTGCGACCACGGAGTCAGCAAATCCGCAAATCCAAGCCGCAAAGGAGGAGATGGAACATCCGCCGTACAGAAAACATCCCAACTCCCGTGAGCCCGCCAGGAGATCAGAAATGACAGTCCCGATGCGCGATTCTAGAAAAGGGAAACCGAGAGAACGCGAAAACGCCAACAGGCTGGGTAAGCCAGGTATCCAGGAACCGAAACCTGGCAATAGAAGAGCCAAAAGGCACAAACAAAATACAACCATGTGCAGGATAAAAGGAGAAAACGGAAAAACACAAGAAAAGACCAGTAGAAAAGCTCCAGCACCAACTGCCAGGGACAAGAGCATAGAAGGAAGATGAGGAACGAAGAAGGCAAGGAGCAAAGAGGGAATGAAAGGTATAAGCCAGGCATTGCAAGACGTGCAACGAAAGTGTGACCCAGATAAGACCATGAAAAATGGGGCCATGACCCCCTTTGCAACCATGAACCCAGCTGAACAAGTAAGGCCTCAGGAAGAAGCACGGAAGGGACAAACAAAAATCCACAACCAATCCCCACCACACATCCACAGCATGAAAACTGCTGCAAAATGTCACCTCAGAACATCCAGACAGGAACACTTACCCCATAACATATACCCCCACCACTGTACCTTGTAACCTGGTGGAGGTAGGGCCCCTATCTGAACTCAAGCATGGGCTGGACATGCATAAGTGGGACAGGATGGGTACAAATAGGAGCTGCCTTGTATGGCCCATTAGGCCTGCTGCAGTCACCTATGTTCTGATGTCTGTATATTCGTATCCAAAAATCACTAACCAGCGCCTGGCTGAAGAAAAGCCAGACCGCATAAACTCACCTGCAGAACGTAGGCATGAATGTGTCATGACACAACATAGTCGAGAAGATTCTGGGAGCACTGCCAGTGGAAGAAGGCAGAACCACACATGCAGGAGAAGAGGGTAGAGGCGACAGAGGAGCCCCACACCCATACGCAGGGAAAACCCCGCGTCTGCCCCATAGCAGCAATCCAGAACACTCCTAGGAGCTACTGGGCATGGACTGGAGAATGGAGAAGAGTGAGAGGTGACGCACCCGAGAAAAAAGGGACACAAAACACCAGCACACGAGCACGCCGCCCATATAAAAACAAACAACCACGGTGCATGCACAGCAGGGATGCCAGACGTGGGTCGCCAGAAGTTGGGAGCTGAAGAAAGAAACCACGAATGTGACTAGAAAAGAGAAAACAGTGTTGTTAATGACCGAATCCCATATGAGAGTACACAGGGCAGCCGCCAACCGTAGTCGAAAAGAGCAGGAAGGAGCGAAAAGAAACATAGCACAGCTTCCCAGTTGGGCTACAAAGAACCCAACCAGGTTATAAGGAGCCCAATATGGCAACCCTGTGCAGCACAGGACAATGCACGCACTGCATGGAGAGAAAGAGACAAACACGAAAGAACGAAACAGGACCGAAAAACGAAAAGCTTGGAGAAAGACCAGCAAGCCCTAGAAAGTACCGAAAGATGACAGACGTTCCAAGAATACGGTAAGAAACAAAACCTTCCCGATCCTTCCAGAACAAAGAAGCAAGTGCGAAGCACGAAGGCACGGAAGGCAAAGTCACACCCGAGACCAAAAGTCATGCAGAACCCCAAGAAGAGGGAACATGACTGTGGAGGCTCGTCCCAAGATGAAGGGTGGAGAAACGTACCCACCAACAGGACGGACCCGACGGATCCAAAGGACAAGGAACTGATCCCGGGGAGGTGCCGACTCTCAAAAACATGTACAGAGAGGGGGGGGGGGGGAAGAAAAAACCCCACTCCCCATAACCGCAAGCCCCGCCTCAAAGGTAAAAAAACCCAGGAGGGGTCCAAATGTCAGCCCCTCACCAGCCTCTGGAACACACAATTCAGGTCCCGGGACCGAGCCGTTCCCCCAAAGCCCCAGCCTCACAAGAAAAAGCCTGCACAACCGGACAAATACTAAGGAAGGGCAACCCGTTCTCGCACTTGCTTATAGTCAATATTGGCTTATTTAATAAGTGCATATGTGACATACTAATTGATTGTAAATATTTTAGTTTACCTTGAAAAGCTTCATAGAAAACACCGACCTCACCTAACCTTCTTAGTATGTTAAGATAAGCATCTTATTGCTTCTTAATTACAATTATTACTTAACCTATACCATTGATAGGTTAAGTAATAATTGTAAATAAGAAGCAATAAGATGCTTATCTTAATATACTAAGAAGGTTAGATGGTAGACCCACTGGTAGACTTATAAAACACGGCTGGAGGAATAGGCTCGAATGCCCCAGTCGCTCTGGGAAATCCCCGAGACCACCCGAGTCTCAAGACCAACGAAGCCTCGCCCCGACCCCGAACCCACAAACGGTAAGGATTCGGATGCAGGGAGGAAGGGGGGATGCCCTAACAGGGGAAGACAAGGGGGGCACGGAAGGAACAAAACCGAAGCGTCCAACACCCCCAAGCCCCGTCACACCAACCAAAATGGGGCGGCCCCAGTGTTCCCGGGGGCCGACCTCACAAACGACCTAGCACGTTACACCACTGAAACTTGCACTGCCCATGCTGCCTGCACCCGCATAGTCAGCATAAGACCGGTTAATCGAGCCACAAACAAGCAACAAAACTCGCAGGGCTCCAGGCCGAAGGTGCCACCGAACCCACAGGCAGCAGACGGAGGCAAAACAATGAGAGTCACCCTGAGACAAGGGGACAGAGCAACCCTCGAACTCTCACAAAGGGAGGGTGGGGGGGACTCCGGGGCCACATCCATCGGACCCATGCGCC